TATAGCATTTTCTCACACTGCGTTGCTAGATGGTGCACCGTCTTCACATGTTCCCTACAGTGTGGGCACATACTTTTCTCAGCTCCAAACATATTTTTGTCTTGGAGATGAGAGTATCGCCCTTCATCCTATGGGTAATATTTCCAAATCGTAGCCAAATTGGTGAATTTGACAGTCTTGGAGGTGACGATGAGACTAGCTCATTTCTGAGCATCTTGTATAGCTTTGCATGATGAGTTTTCTTATCCATTTCGCTATGCAGGAAGGCTTGCTGAGCTGCTAATACGTTTTCGACGGTTGGATTTTCTACGAGCTTGTATTAAGTCTGAAGGTAGGGCACAATAACTGCTAGGTATATGTTGTGAGTCTTTTCCTGCTACAAAATTGCCACCTTCCTGGTAGATATAGGCGCACTTTCTACAAGTATGTTATTGCAGAAGCATAAACTCTTTGTTCTACGCAATGAAGCCCACGTCAGGCTCGTCCTTTGGCAATTACAGTCTTTTTAAACATGCAGGTTGGATGTGGATTCCGTACTTATTAGTAACTGTCTGATATCATGGTCAATTGCTCAGAAATCTTCTGGTTCCAATTTGAGCACCTCAGTACAATAATTTATTTATCCTACGGCGTGCTCATTTACTGCCTTGATTGCAGTTTTTTTTGGTCACTCGTTCAATTCTCGCCAAAATCTCTGCTCGGAATTTATCATAGTTTCACGGCCCAACAATCCTGTCTTCCACTAGTCCAAGATATTTATACTCTTGAGCTCCTTCCAAAAGTACTGGCTTATCAGCGCATACCTTAGTATTGGTAGCTGACTTTGTTGGATCAAGAAACCTCTAACCCAACTATTTCAAAGAACTTCTGAACTTTTTCGGCCATAGCTTTCACGATTTCCTAGTCAGTAGCAATGAGCTTGAGATCATCTAGAAATAATAAATGTTTCTTGATGGACGGGAACCTACACCTTTGGGAATTTGCTACTCAACCTACGGTTCAACCGATCTATGCATAAAACGAACAGCGGCGAAGAAAGGATGTCACCTTGAAGAATTCCGCGGATTTTTTCTCCATCACGGTTTTCTATTGTTTGTCAATGTGACCGACCACATGAAGGTGATGCATCCTAGCAATCTGCTGATCCACGCTGGTATTTAAGCCTCTCAATGCAATTAATCAAGTATTCGAGATGAACTGAAGCAAACGCTTCTTTAATGCCATACCACGCAGTATATAGCTCGTTCCAATGCTCTCTGCAGAGGGCCAGGTTCAACAGTGCTTGCTCTTTTGCACCTTGAATCTACGAACACTTCCGACTGTTTGGCTGTAAATAGTCATTTTGTGGCAATATCTATTTGCATGACTCGTGCCACACATTTCTTTGTCAGCTTGTAGAGATTCAGCATGCGAGTTGATAGCCTGAAGTCGCTACCTTCGTTTGCAACATCTTTTGGAATCAGACATGTCGTGCTTTTGCAGATTCCTGGGTCCTGTTCCTTCCCATTCAATCAAATGCGCTTCGTTATTTTGTATATATCTGGATGTAAGGAGATGCAATTCTTAATGAAGTCGTAGATTCCATCAAGGCTCGCTACCTTGCAGTTGGAAAAATAAGAAATATCTTTCCAAATTCGAATTCAGATGGTAAAGTATTATGCACTTCATATTCTGAAACGAATTTCTGCAAATACGTTATGCCAATTGTCATCATTTATCGTTTTCGAATTCTTCATCTTGGCCTAGAACTTTCTGACTTCTGTCCCTACATTGTGGCTAACAATTTGTTCCTTAGCTAGTTTCCTACCAAACCGCCTTCTGAACAACTCAAATCTGACATTTTGAATTTTGAATGCACATCAGAACTCATAGCTTTTTATTTCACTTTCATAAACTTCCACACGTTTTATCAGCATGTTAGAGCCTATTGAAAGTTAGTATGAGAGCAAGTAAGAGATTCATGCTCTTCATACACTTCTTGCCTTCCTCAAGGTTTTACCTTCAAGTATTTCACCGGCCAAATACCACTCTACGAGGGTTTTGTGGAAGTTTTTCACATTTCTTTTCTTTTCTTTGTTTGCCTTTCACCTCCACGGCTTTTTTCCCGTATTGTCATATCTTCATAGCACTATTGTACAACCTGGAACTGCCTTGCAAAATCAAACACTGACTTGCGCAGATTTTGTGTAGCATATTCAGCATATTCACCATCGCTTGGTTTAGCGTTCCAAGTATAAGCGAGTCAACTTTCTTCGAGATTATTTTCTGCTTCCAGTTTGTCCGGTTAATCTCACGTCCATGGACTTCTTGCATCAATTTACTTCTGCTTTACGCACACACAAAATTTAGACTCATGTAGAGTATTTTTTTCGAAAACGGTGTCAACTATCTTGACAAGCTTCGTTGCCTCCTTCAAGAATCGCTTCTGCAAGGATGACGACTTGCAGTGCTACTGATCCCAGCATTCGCTTGCTTCTTCAGTTCTCGAAGACTAATCATACACGCAACTTCTTGCAATAAAGGGAACGACACAAGTGCCATGCCCTCTCGACATCCTCCCGAAACTCAAGAACTGCTTTCAGCACTTTTCCTGGCCAGCTGCTCTGTAGAACCTCGATTCCTCGAATGAGTACTTGAGCGTAATCATCCTGCTGGTGCCTGGTTCCGGAAAACTGGCAGAGTACTCTCTTACATCTTTCACAGAGCTTTTCACAACTTCATCTGTTTTCCCACTGTTTCCTACTACGATTCAAAATGAAATTTTTGTCTATTCATCTTCCATTTTCTTCTCAAACTTTTGATATCCTGACTGTCCAACTACATTCTTCTTTTTAGTTTCCAATTCTTTTTGCAACAGTCTTCCTTCTGCTTTATCCATACCATGCTATCATTCTTCCTCACCTTCTTCCCTTGTTTCGTCTTCATTGCTCGAGAAGCACTGCAACATGTTGCATGATCATTATCGTTATGATCTATAACTTCCTTTCGCTTTTTGGAACTCGCCTGTAACGTGGAAGGTTCATCAGAGACTCGTTCCCAGCCACTAGATAACTGATCTATTTAAATTTTTTTTTTAAAACGTCTCGGATCATTTTTCAGAGATTTCTGTAGTTTTATTATCATTTTCACTAATCTGGCGTCGTTGACCGCCGATGTGCCACGTTTGTTATTGTAACTGATCGCACTGGTATTTACGCCATTCACTTCCATAGTTGCATCATGACGTCGAAGTAACAGATAGACAGATAAAAGTAGAACAGAGGAAATAAAAACCAGAAATTACCAAAAAATAGTGTTTCTTCCGAGATCAGGCATAGTCTATTGTCCACAGTGACCTCCAATTGGGTAGTATACCCTATATATATGCTACAAACTTTCCCAGTGCTACAAACCTGTTTAGCTAGATCAAAGCGTCTCGGATCATTTTCCTCAAGATCAAATATGCCTTTCCACATTTCGGGATTATTAACGTGCTTGAATTCCACCTAAACCGATTTTAATTAAAAAAACTGCAGATCAGAAAACGAAATAGTAAACAAATGCGGAAGACAAAAAGCTAACATTTCTTATTTCGCGATTTAATTCTTCTTCATTCCACAACTGCATTCCAATTTTCAGTCGCTCCAAACTGAGCTTCACACAAGCATGGTTCAGTGAAAGAGCCTGCAATGATATAAAAAACGTTCCAAATCAAGCTAGAAAGTATCATGAGAAAAATTTCTAAATTGTCTAAAGCGACATCATTAAGAAACAAAATATATACAACGAAATTTTAAAAATATGCATATAAATGCTTATCTAACAATAAGGTAATAATATATTCTGAATAACATTAAATCCCAAATCTTACAAGATTCATATCTTCAAATCAAGGACAAAAAATCATTAAAATAGATAAGTACTCGCTCCGAGTTCTCAAGAAGAATATCTTTCATTATGATTACTGAGCGATAAGCTATAACGCAAAAAAATTTTTACTTTATCTAAAATGCTGATTTTGCGCTCCAACAGTTGACGATTAGTGAGACGTTCGTTTTCCATTCCTCTGTGACCTTCTGAATTATTCTGAGCGAGAAAGATCTCGTCCTCAAAACATTCTTCGTATTTTTTAAAATTAACAATAAATGGTAACAAAATTCATAAAATCTTTGTAAGCATCAAACCTGGACTGCCAGAAACTGGAACCACAAGTCGATATCATGTGGATTTTTTGCTAATTCCGAATTATATTTCTGGCTTCTCACTTCTGCAGTTGCTTCGATTATGGATGGTTTACCTTGTAATTCATTAAATTCCTCAGTACCCCAATGTTCTTGCATATTCTATAATGTAGAAATTAATTCTTCTAGAGTTCTAAGAATTTTTCCGAAATAATAGCCACTCAAATTTAATACCCTGAAACATTCTTCTGATATACCATATCTAGATAATTCGATAAAAGTGGTAAATGGTTTCATATTTTCCTTCCTCCAAAATCGCTCTGGTTCGTTACTCCATGTTTTGCTTACTTCATTACTGAAGTATCGTTGAAAAGTGTTCTTTCTCAGCGAAGCATTACGATAGCTGCAAACAATTAAAAGGCGAAAAACTGAACTGCACCCCTTATACTGTTAAATTTACGACTGCAGATAATACAAAATTAACATCTTGAAATAACACGAAACTTGACTACACGAGACAAATTAACAGCACTCCAATCCACTAATTCAGAACAGATTCTACCACACTTAAATTAAAAATACTCTGAAGCCCCTATAACAACGGTCACAATTAATCAAATCTTAACTTTGCAAATTACAATAATTTTGGAAAGGAACAAACTTCCGATCACTGTTATCTCCAAGAATTTCATCACATAATGTATCATACTGAGCAACATCAGTTTTATATAAAGAATCATATAGTATATTGGAGCGATCCCCTTGCAAATCCATTACCATGAATGATTTTGTATCAGATGAGTCAAATTTCGCCAAAAAGCACCACTTCTGATTGGCCTAAATTTCAAAGTGAAATACAACACACAAACTTTGTAACCACCTTTACAAGCACTATGATCAAATCTAGTAACCTAGTATTGTGACCAATCAAACTTGGAAAAATTTAGCGCAACAATTTTTAAAAGAAAGTATGTCATGTGGTAATCATGGCAGATGAGTAATGAAGCACCCGAAGCAGAAAATTATGTGCATACTGCACATGTAGAAGCATTTTTTGAGCTTGCTTTAACATTGCGACTTTTTAAATTCTGGCCCTTAATTATTACACGCCAATGCTAGTCTCACAAATATTCTTGAGAATAAAATGTTATCTCATCGAATGAGCTTTCAGAAAGTACACAAGAAAGCTTATCTCGAGTTTTTCTATCATCACTTCGGTACTGAAAAGCTTACACAAAGTATCTGAGGAACTGATAACTTGTATAATCCATCTGAGCTTGAACTCGATGTGACAGTACTACTAGATGAAGCAGACGAAGACTCGGAACTGGATCGTCTTCGTTGCTTTCCTTTTGACCGATTTTTTTTCATATGCCGTGTGTGCCTTTTGATTTTTTTGATGGAAACAGAAGAAACATCTAAAGGTATTTCGATGTCACTTTCCTCGTCTGAAGCAGCAGTAACCATCTATAAAACTCAAAAAATGAGAGATTTTAAAATCTAAATAATTGTATACAAATCTTTTACAAATACCGATTCCATCAAAGTCACGAAATCCTGTTTCATATTTTATTTCCTCGTGTGAAAATAATTTTCATTAATTCCTTTATACAAACGAAAAATATGATTTCGTATTCATCTCAAGTAGGTCAAATAAACTTTAAACAAAAGTTAAAGCAAAACCATTATATTAGCATGATTTCAAATTATTCGTAAAATGAGAAATGTCTTTAATTTTAAATAAAATTTACCGATGAATCCGAAGAAAAATTGAACTCAACTATTTCACTATGAAAATCAAAATATTAATATTATGCACACGCAACAGGCCATTAATTTATAACATACCATATCTTATTTGCTGAAATAAATCACAAAAATTATGTAATTTTTAGTTCAGCTTTCCTTATTCCAAAATAATTCGTGAAAATCAAAAATTATAATACTTTGACAGAATGTACGGAAAGTTTCTGTTCTATTAATTCCTTCCTCTTCTTCGTGGCTTTTTCATGGCGTTTTCTTTTTTTATGTCGCTTATGCTTAGACTTTGTTGTTGATTTTGAAGCAAATGAACTATATCGATTGCTAGAACGCGCATTTCTAGCTGAAGTAAACTGAGGAGAAGGAGAATGACTTCTGTATGCAGGAAACATTGCCCTGAAACTTTTCTCATTGAGTACGGAACTGAGATATGAATGAAATAAGCAGTTATCTCCGCCATTACACAAAATAAAGACTTGAAGTTAATATTTGAATTCAAATTTCATATACTACAGAAGAAGCAGAGCTTGAATGCAAAAATTTCTAGGATTCAGTTTTTGTACACCTCAGTTAAATATCTTTCAAAACATGCTATGTTGACAAATACACACATTTACTCAATTTTCTTTCGTTCTGGACAAAATTATTAATAATTATTCGAGAAAAAGATATGAAAAACAAGCAAATTTTCACAAAAATTTCAGGTTAACGACAAGTATATTTTTTCCCTCACTAAAAAACAAATTCCATCAGGGCGCAGAATTAACTACAGTGCATACTTAAAACTTGTTATCTGTAAGTAGGACAATTACAAGGGACCTATAACTTGGAACAAAAATCATGAATTAATATGAAAAATCACTACCTCACGAAAACTGCCACCTGATCTGGATTTGCCTTGATTCCCTAAATTTCGAAATACCAATCCTTCCCGTTTCATCCGGATCGTTTAATGAAACCGGATGCCCTTTTCTACTAGACGGTGTTAAAAAGCCTCAATCCTTACTTTAATTACAAGGGTGACATTTTTTAGACTAATGCCTATGTAATTTTATCATATAATGTGATATACCTATGTTTATGCATATAATGCGACAACTATAATATGTATATCAGTTTTTTCTTAATAAATTTGTAATTCAATTCTACTTTGTTCCAGAAGCAAGTAAATAGCAAACTCCGCTTTTATTAGATAATAGCTACTTACGGGCAATAACAGATTACATACCCATGAACAATCATAGAGAAATAAGATTGGATACTGCCGATGTTCCCTCATATGAAACAAATACCAAAGCTACTTTTTTACAAACACTGCTTTTCAGTGTAATAACATTTTTTAAACTATTTTATAGTTATAAACACAACGAAGAGCCTTTACTATGGTCAATAAAATAAACCATGCATGTATGTTTCTAATAGCTTGTAACATAAATAACCACAATAATAACACAAATTTGGGTATACTTGATAAAGTCATGATCCTAAAAAGTTATGTCTTCAAAGTCATTGAAAAGTTGGTCTGAACAACAAATTGCGTAAAGAACATGTCATGCCCATTAATGAGCAGGGAAAAATTATCTGAACCAGAATTAGTATCATGAGGTGAAGGGTCTGTAAAGCTTTCACTAAAAGTAAGATAAAAATAACAACCGTGGTTGATTACATGAGGCGAAAATTGCAGTTAAAGGCGAATTTCCTGGCTAATGTATTTTCCGAACTAGTGATACAAAGACATTCATTGTATCACAAACTGGAAAAGAAAGCAACGAGTGCGGTGCTAATCAACAATTTTTCATAGCCGTTTACTCAGAAAAAAATGTTAGAGCAAAACTTCGTGAAGTACGTCACGAAGGTGAAACAACAGCTATGACACATGAAATTAACATAAAGCAATTAACAAATGCACCTGCTAGTGACTCTTTAAATATCGGAACAATGAAAGATGCAGATCGAAATGTCAAAGAATTTTCAGCTTCATTGTCAGCGTTAATATGCACTGATAATGAAGAGCAAAATATAGTTGCAAACCATATTTTGGCCTGTTATTACTACATTTGCATACACAATATATAGGTTTGTTCAGTGGAAGGAGACAATAGCACAAAACATTCTCTACTACAAATTATTAGCAGTAAAATTAGTAAATGTATTCCAACACATGAAAAGTCAAAAATATAAGACAGGAACACAAGCCCAAAGATCACGAATTACGTTTCAAATATACGATGATCACGAAACAATAAAAACAAATTAAAATGTCTTCCTATGCAGTACCCTCTTCCCTTCATCTTCATATTCTCTTTTACTAACCCACATTCTCTTGAATGTATCAAGACTAGCTAGAATTGAACCACCTATCCAAGTCCCATATAATCGTTCTTGTGGTGCTGATATTCGAATTTTTACATCCTTCGGTGCTAACATGCGTGTCTATAAGATTAGAGTCTTTAGCAAGAAACTAGAAACTTGAATTCTAATCACGTTAATGGAAAACTATTGTGTTAGATGAGATATAAAAAAAACAAACTTCTGCTAATAATCGATCACCAAATCCAGCAAACATGGTTGAACCACCACTTAATATTATATTGCTGTACAAATTTTTACGCAAATCGATTTCACATCGCTAAAAAACCATTTCATATCCAACACGGATTGATAACAAATCAAACTTTTGGATGATAATACTAAAACATGAATGTAAATTCACCTCAAAAACAAGGGTGCAAATCTTTAAATCAATTACTTTTTCGCGATTTTTCTCGACAAGAATGCTATAACCAGACATTGACTCATAAAACTAAGATTAAAGCTGAAAAACCTTACTACTCGAAACTTAAAGTCGTAAACCTTACTTTCACGTTCTGTTGCTATCTTGAACTGTGGTCAATAATTTTCAATATGAGTAAAATGTATATTTTAAAAGGGATTTGCATCAGTAACTACTAACTTATTTACAATCTAATAATCCCGACAAGAAATTAGTAAAAAGTACTCTTATAGACATATCAAGCGCACTAGCAATGCCAGGCCACTCTTCACCAATGATATCTGGCCGAAATAATATTTCGGCTGCACGAAATCTTGACGGTCCAATTTCGAACACCGAACCATCAGGAAGCTTATATGTTACCTGTCTCAACAAACTGAAGTTAGGTAATAAATAATAACTGCACAGTCGCATTTCTGATAGCAATACATTTCATGTACAGAATAATATTCAAATATACTTTTTCACTTTCACTACTTTCTTCTTTCGTACCATTTGTCGCAATGTAACATAATTTTTCTTTAATTTCTCGAACAATTTCAAATTCTGATGAACGATGGAAGTCAGCACCTTCTTTTCGAAGCAGCAAACGCAAATACCTTGTAACATCTCGTCCTGCCACATCCATTCTCTCAATTCTAAAGGGCTCCACTTAATTACAATCATGAAACACACTGAGAGAAAATGGACATAATTATGAATAGCAACCAGTACATATATAAACAAGTCATAATATTTAGATCAATACATTGATGAAAAACATGAATTCAAAAAGTAATCTCAGACAATACGATTGATAGACTAGAATATAATTAGGCAAAGCAAATTACCAGCAAGTAGACCTAGATTGATGGGAATCAAAGATAAGAAACAACAAAAAGAAGATATGAGAAAACGATAACAAACCCATGCTGTATAGCGAAACCTTCGAAGATGGGTACAACATGAGTAACACCATCTCCTGAATCTAAAACCACGCCTGTTGTACGACCCGTTGAATAAAGTGAAAGTACAGCTTGCATTTGAATGTGCAATGCAGGTACATTGAAAGTTTCAAAGAAAATTTCAGCTGACTTTTCCCGGACTTTTAAAGGGTTCAGTGGTGCTTCCGTTAATAATACCGGATGCTCCTCTGGAAACACCTGAAAATTGTATTTTCCAAGAGCAAAACACTTATATGTGAGTCAACGAACTCTGCACTAAAAAATGAAAAGGTAAATACCTGCAATTGATCTTTACTATAAATGTATTGCCAAATCCGTTCCATATCATTCCAATCTGTGACTATGCCATGTTCCATAGGATACTTTAATGCCAACAACCCACGGTATTCTTGGGCTTTAGGACCTTAAATTTACATTACTCTACTAACATGAGATGACAGAGTAAAATCGAAAATCTTAAGCACTTTCACAATAAGACTAACTCACCGATGAATAAATCACCCTCAAGGGCACCAGCCATGACCCTAACATGTTTCGGCCGTCCAACAAAATTTGCAAAACGACATTTGGGAGTCTGATCTCCAGCGAAACCAGCTTTTATTACTCCAGACCCATTATCAATTACAACAGGTTGATTTGCTATCAAATCATATGAGTCCATAGCTGAAACCCGCCCAGAGAACTTCACAATATTGTTAACGATTAGTGCAAGCACACTACAGTAAAGGATGCTGCAAGGAGCTGTCAACAATTACCTCACCCCATTTACTCTTCTGATATCACTGAAATATTTACCACACATCGTTCTTTGGAAATAGAACAAGAGTAAAGTCAGAAATCTATGCGAAATATGCACCAAAACCATCGCATTCCCTTCACAACTTAACAATCAGCATGATCTATCTGTTTAAAGGAACCAGACTTATTAAAAATCTTAATCACATCCATGTTATCTGCAACCAACATCTGTGGTTCACCTCAAATAGATAATAAAAGCAGACAATTATCTAAATGGATTGTTTTTCCAGCAGCAAAGAGATATGCAAAATAAATGAGTCAGTGACTCTTAAGGATTGGTGAAAACAATATAAGACTAATAATAACAAGCTTTATTTCCATATTCTTATAAGTGATAAAGAAAACATAGTTCTGTAAATTCAATCAACACATTATCATTAACCTCCTTTCTTCTTTGATACACCGACAGTACGACCTTTCCTGCCCGTTGTCTTAGTGTGCTGACCACGAACACGGAGACCCCAATAATGACGAAGTCCTTTAATTATATGAAAATTAAATTATAGAGAATAGAAAAGCTAAATTCTTGAAGATCATCATCATAAAACTGAGGAAATTAAAGATAACATCGTTTCTAACAAGCATATAAATGATTACAATTTTATATGTAATATCTATTTGTTTCTATTTTAATGATCAACTTGACACTTTCATCAATTCAAAATTAATTAATAACCTCTATGCAAACGAATCTTCTTCAAACGCTCCAAATCTTCGCGAAGCTTATTATCAAGTGAGGTTGATAACATCTGAAAAAGTCATGAACGTTATATCTTCATAACAATGAATGTACACTGGCCTTTCAAAGTACCAATTTATCAACTACCTGATATCTAAATTACAACTTGACAACCTGAGAGTATTTTCCATCCTTGACGTCTTTTTGTCTATTTAAAAACCAATCGGGAATTTTGTACTGGTCCGGATTTAACATTACTTGCTGCAATCTTTCCAAATCTGCTTCTGACAATTCACCAGCACGACGATTAATATCAATATCTGCCTTACGGCAAACAACAAATGCAAAACGCCTACCAACGCCCTGAATTACAAAAGAAATACCTCTTTAATCTTCAAGTTGTCCTAAAATTACGAATGATTCAAATATTGCACACAAAATTAAAAGTTTCCGAATGAGTAGATACCTTAATGGCCGTGAGAGCGAATGGTACTTTTCTATTACCATCGATATTTGTATTCATCACACGATGGATGTGTTGGAATTTCTCAGGAATTATAAGCGACATTTCCCACTTCCTGATCTCTGCAAATCAAAATTATCGCCACAAACAAAGTACAATATACCAACACCACCTCACCCTATACCACCCTCGCAAGACTTCATTATTGCTAATCAGCTGTATGAGTTTAGCAAACCAACGAGGAGACGTAGCGATGTATCTTTGACTTTGGCACTACTCCTAGGTCTTTATGAAAAATTCTCGTATCATTATTTTAAACCGATTTCTTACTGTACGGTATGTAAGTTTGGGTCTCTATGTATTGGATCATCATCCAGGATTATTTTGATTTATATAATCCATTTTGTATTGCCATATTCTTTTATATAGCTTACTTCCGTCTACATAAATGAGACTAAGTTTATAGACTCATAGTAATCTTTAAGTGTCAAAATGGAATCATTCTAGAAGTAAATCGTCAATAACGTCTTGCAGTCATAAAAATGAAAACTGCGTATTTAAATTTAACGTAATTTTATGATTTTATCGTCCACAAGAAGCTGAAATGTTTGCATTCCACAAACTTTCTTACATTCTAAAACTTAGCTTTTAATGGGATGGGAAATTGCTCCGTCATTTAGTTAATATTGTTAACATCACAGTTTAAGTACTAGTGATATCATTCTAAGGTTGTAGACACTAGTGCCTGTACAAAAAGTGTGGTTTTTTTGTGTTTCGAATTATGAGAAAGAATCAGTCATGGATAGCAATGATGACGATTAGATTCTATGTAGTATAATTCTTTAAAGTTGCCCTTCGTTCAATATTTTTTTAAATGTATACGAAAAAATTTGCATCATGTTAAGAGCAAGTAAGGGTTCTGAAGTGTTGATTTCAGATGAAAATTTCGCTACTATGGTTGCTGGTGCTATTTAATACAGCTTTATCAATATATGAAGATCAAATTGGAAAATTCGACTGGTAAAATCTTTAGTCTTTGTTCAGTTATATTAGCATTCAAGTATATCCACAAAAGTGTCTCATTATGTGTATTGTTTAGGCGTCAGGAATATGTTGGATGCCCTCGAAATATTTATTTCGAACGCCTGAAGGGTATGAAGTCTCCTTTTGTATTTGTATCAACAGAAACTGCAATGATTGCTTCGCTGAAAGCATCAACTGGACATATAAGTAGTTTTATTGACTTATTTTGTCAAGTTTTTGGATGCTAAGAGTACATAGAGCATATGCTAATTTTTCTCAGTATTTTTTTTCACTATGTTCTCTTCCAGTTTTCCAGAACTTTTTTCTTTTTAAATAAGAAGAACTAGTAATAATTTTCATGTGAAAAGCAGTTCATTTAAATTGCATAAATATGTGATTATATTCTGAATGCCTTCATTCATTTTTAAAATGTTATTTCATCTTTGAAATATTAGATTGGAGACAACAGCTGGAATCTTCTACATTACATTTGGCATTTTCACCTACAGCGAAATGTATGCTTTATAAGTGACTGAATTTTAAGCCATTTGTTTTTTATAAGTTTCTCTACATGTGGCCGTATTAATTTTTTGTGTTTTAAACAATTTACAAACTGAATTTACAGTTCTAATATCAGTGACGAAAGATGGTGCAGTGGTACGAGCTTGGAATCGAGAAAATGGGATTTTGGCATGGGAAGTTCAAGTTGATCAGTTTACTCCGAAGTAACTGTTAATTCAAAATAGTTCTCATATGATTATATCATTTTCCTAAGCTTTTATATCATAAATATTAGGTAGTTAAGATTGGAATTTAGGAATTTATCATTGCCTCTCTTCCCAAATATCAAATTCAAACCCTTAATGATAAAAATGTAATTCTGTTAACAGGAAAAGTCAGTTATGATCATATGTTTATGTGAAAGCAAAAACAATGAAAATATAGGGTTAGATAGGACGAAGTTATGTAGAAACAGTTATTTGGCCTAATTGAGTTAGGCTATATTGGAGAGTTTTTTCAGATTTTCGCAAATAGATGTTTTGTTATTGGATGGGCTTATATTCATTTGCAAAGGTGATCACATAGTAGCTCTATCACTCAGCAATGGTAAGCATAAATGGACAACAAATATCAGCAATATGAGGTTAATAAGCATTAAATTAGGCATATTTTTAATCTTACATGTGCAATTAGATAACACCGAATATTTGTGTTATCTTTGTTTTTATATTATATATTTATAATATAAAAACTAACCCTCTTTTGTTTCTAGAAACAAAGAAATGCAAAGGCTACATAAAACCTCTGCATTTGTTTCTATATATAGAAATATATATTTGCAATATAATATCTAAATACGATTGATTTGTATATTATATATATATAATATACTAATCAATCGTATTTAGAGTGATTCAAAATTTCATAATATGCTGCGAAAAATATATCTACATTTATTCAGTTGTGCTTATATTATATCTCCAACACTGTTTATAGCTTGGAATTTCCTCTTTGTTCTGTTAAATTTTTGTATAATGCGGCTGAAATAGTGTAAAGGAATGTTAAAAGTTACAGTGAGTATGTTGGATCAGTGTCAGGGTCACAGACTCTTACTGTAGTTGGAGGTACAGAAGAAGTCGAATTAAATATATATCGATTAGATGTGATAAATGGTGTAGTTACAAAAGTTCAAAAACTGGTTGCAACCTGGTTCACTCATAAGAGGTGAAAATTTTCATGGAGATTTTTTTTCCTTAAAGTAACAGACTTGTAGTATTGCAAGAAAGAAATCTGTGATCACATTTTGACGCAAATGATTGAAGGCATTAAAATAATATTGTTTTTAATTGAGTTTGGTTGCTCGACTTTTTTAGTTGATATCATTGTTATTACCTTGTTTGAAAATTTATCATGAAGGTGGATTGTATAGGTCCAAGAAGTGAAGTGCATTTTTATGCTGGATGAAAATGGGGCTTAATAAGACTTTATTATGAATTTACTGCTCATATTTTAACAGCTGATTACAGATGCGCTTTATCGGATACATTATTACAATGTTTTGATGACAAGGGCTTCTACGTTGCTGATTTGTCATCAGATCCAATTTCTGTCCAGCATGTTTCACTTCAGTCGGTAGTGAAAATATTTAATTTAGATGTGAGAGACATCGTCGTAATTAGTACCATCACTAATACATATCTCTATCGCGTCAGTATGTCAAGACCGCCAATAATGCTTTTAAAGTTTGATAAGGTTCGTGAATCAAATTTTTTGCTGAGCTATATGTGTCATAGAATTTTCGAATATTCGTTTAATAAAATAATTTTTAGGTTAACATGGTTTCTGCGCATATGACACCTACTGGACAAAACTTATTAGCTGTTGCTACGCTATCAAACAACATTGTCTTGTATGATGCTGTTAGTGGAGAACATTTGTTTTCAGAAGCCATACCAGAAAGTTATCCAGCTCCTGTTAAATTCCTTTCATTGATCGGAACTTCTAAAGAATTCGAGTGCGTCGTAATCTTGGAGGACTGCAGATTTATTTATTTGGTCCGTTCTTCAAATAATTTTTTGAAAAAGTGGATCAGACACGAGGCACTCAGTACCATAACATCAGTAGAAATGGTCGATTTACCGTTGTCTGAGGCCCAAGCTGATATCGAATCTGAATTCGCTCCAAATGGTGGTTTGTTTCTTCAGTTTACTTTTTAAATTATCATTCTTTAATCAGCGTTTATAATAGCTCTATTGATGCAGCATGTATTTATTTAAATAACTGGTTGTGAAGCTGTGATTACTTAGACATTGAAACCTCATGTATTAGAATGTGATATAAAGCGTAATGTTAACTCTGGTTTGGAGCTGACAGTTTTGATAAGTTTAGAAAAGGCACGAATAAATTCTGTATATTTTGTAGGCGGTATAGTAGAGTCGTTTTTACGACGTCTAGCAAGTCAGACAGAGCAGTTCCGTCGCAGTTGTCTTAGTGCAGCTAATCAAATTTTTTCTTCTAATTTTATACCATTTTATTCAAAATCGTTTATCGACTGGATATTCTCTCATCGGTTTTCCACACGAAGCATACGCAGGAAAGATGCACCTTGTGAAAGAGATTATTTCAACTTGCGAAAGATCATTGTTGTTTCAACATTAAAATCTATTGTGTATGGTATGTTTTCATTAATTTGATTATGAAAGTTAATAACACAAATTGTTTTGTTATTGACATTCCACTATAACTTTTTAGGTATTGATAGCAGCGATGGTACGATATTATGGCATTTTTATTTGGGAAATGATATGGAACCGTTACAGAGCTCTTTAGGTGATGTAAAAATTCCTTTGTTCATACAGCGAACCACCGCTCATTATCAATTTACTCCTCTAGCAACAGTTTTGGTTAATAATATGGTTAGTTATTTAAACTGAAGCTACGATTTTTATGGTGATCCGGGAATCAAGTACTATGTATCGAAAAAATTATTTCATTTTTCTCGGAAGATCTATCCATGAAAGTTCATGGTGCTTTCAGAAATCGAAAAATACTGTCGTAATATCGTTTAATCCTATAACGGGATCATTATTCGAACAAAAATATATGCCCAGTTTTATTAAACGTGTTGAAATTCTCCCCTATGCAAATGCCAAGACACATTTAAGTCACCTTGTCCTGTTTGACATAAATGACAATGTAAGTTTGATAATTGAACAAATATGATATTTCATTCCCAATTGTGGAGTGTTTAAATTTTATTATTTTGTTTACAGCTTTTTTAAGTGTATGCCTCTTCAGAGTTTGCTTATTGTTGCAGGTCGTATATTATCCAGAAAAGATGGATGGACCAGAGCAACAAATTCCATTGTATTTGTTTAATTTTAATACTAATGGTGATTTAGAAGGACTTCTACTTAATGTTTCCAGTAAACAGTTCATATCAACTTGGAAAATGAAGTTATACTTAACCTATGAACAGAAGATCATTGCTGTAGTTCCGAAACCTTCATATCGTAAGTTTATGTAAAATGCATGTTGAGAATATGTTATGTTTGTTTTATTTTACCATGAGACTGTAAAAGGAAGTTGCTTAATAGAATTACTTTTATATTTTCAGAAAAGATACATAGTGCAGGACGAGTTCTCGGAAATCGTTCTGTTCTATACAAGTATGCAAATCCGAACCTTGTGGCAATTGCTGTATTTGATTCTACTCATTCAATGTTACAAGTTTATCTTATTGATGCAGTCTCTGGATATGTCGTATATAGTGGTAAACAAAACAAAGTTAGTTATATTTGTTTTATTTTTTCTATACAAGTTTCAGTGTTTAGGAGACGGCAGGAAATAAATCCTTTTTGATCGCAGTTTCTTAATTTGTGAAGTTGTTTTCCCAAGAACTTTTGACCATCTTATTATGTAGTTTGGATATTTTTTTATTCCAGATCTGTGGATGTCTAACATGAAATGTTCATTCGATTTCAATATAAAAGTAAATTTTGTAGATAGCTGGTCCAGTTCATTTGATTCATTGTGAAAATTGGTTGGCGTATTCGTACTGGAACGAAAAGGGTCGTCGTATGGAAATAGCCATCGTGGAGTTATACGAAGGCCTGGAGCAAACCGATGCTTTGCATTACAATTCACTGGTGCAAACACTGATTCCCAAAGTCACTGTATTCTCCCAGGCTTATATATTCCCACAAGGAGTTGCAGCTTTAGGCGTTACCGAAACTGGTAACTTATTTCACATTTACTCTTTTACTTCATATGCGAAAGATATGTGACTTATTTATATTTATGATTATAAATTTCATGGAATGGTATGTCTATGTTAGTACTGTAACATAAAAAAAGGGCAGTTTATAATATATGTGAGTGATCGAATACTTGGTATTTCGTGGATTTGCTTTCACATTTTTAAATTTGTCTTCCGTTTCAACATTAAGACAAGACTAATTGCCGGAAAGAAATTTTGTATTACTTTTAATGTATGCATAAGTTTCGTGTAAGCTTACGATTTAGAGCAAGGATTATCTACGAGATCTCTATTAGTAGCTATGCCATTCGGTGGCATATTTGGCATTTCTAAGCGCCTTTTGGACCCTCGTCGTCCCTTGGAAATGACGCAAGAACTAGCGGAAGAAATGCTTCTTCCTTATCGCCCAGAACTGCCCATCGCTTCTGAGGACTTTATTAATTACAATCAAAGCGTACATGGTATTCGTGGCTTTAAAACGTCGTAAGTTCTTCCTTCTTTTTGCGCATATTGTGTTGAACTTTCATTACATCTGAAACATATTTCCTCTTTAAATATCTAAATCATATTATTGTTCATTAATTTTATTGTTTTCTATTGTATGTTGGACGACAAATTATTTGATTTATGCGGACACAAAAGCTATATATTCAAATTTATATGAATAATTATTTAACACTGAAAATTTTTCATACTAATTTTTTCAAAAAATTTTTGAAGAATCGATCACTAGTAAAAGTAGCTATAAGATTTTTGTTGCTGTTTTCATAAATATGTCGCCCCAAAAAATTATGAATCTGCTTTAGTCATTAATTGAAGTCGTCCAAATATCTATGGCTTCCACATTTTCAGAACATCTGGTTTGGAGTCAACAAGTTTGATGTTGGCGTATGGCACAGATCTGTTTTTCACTCAACTTTCCCCATCAGGAACCTTTGATATATTAAAAGATGATTTCGATCACTTGCTTATTAGTGTCGTGCTATTAAGTTTAGTGATTGGAAGTTTGGTATGTAAAAAATTGGGCAAAAATAATAGTCTGAAACAGGCATGGCAATGATTGCTGCTTGAGTACCTTACGATTATAATTCTATGAATGCTTATTATTAATAAAATGGATAGAATAAGTTAAGAGATCGAAGTTCTATTTATATTAGTGGCATCATTGAATTAATATGACAAACTGGCATGAGCTGCTCGATGTTTGGCAATTAACTTATATTACTGATCTGTTCAAATCATAATGGTTTGATGACATGCATTTTATATTAATACCATTTGCATCGAAAAGATAGTTTGCCACAATCGAGCTAATTTCTCCGATTCATATGCAATAGCTTCCATGGGAATTAATTTGTAAAATTGTGTTTACTGCTAATATATTTCGTTCATTAGCGTTCAGTGGTCATTTGGAAAATTATATCTCATCGTATTGCGGGTATGTGTAATATAGTTATTTGTTCTTGTTGATATGTATGGATATTTTGAATTTCTATCCTTATTATAATCCTTAACAAATATTGAAATAAGCTAAAATTGAAATTGATCACATGCTTTGTTAGTGATCCTTTTTTGTTGCTTAACATTGTAATCTATCAGTATGCCTATATGATGCGAAATAAAATACCCATCAGACGCAGATCGAAAAGTAGTTTGACAAAGTATTGTTCAGCGTTTCACCACGAAACCAAAGAAATTTAAACTTGTGCAATCATCATTTTTCGTCCGGCATGATTTGCAGAGCAATCTTCATGACTACATATCAAGGCTGGACTTTTATTCCTTTATACATACTTGGAAGCTTCTGGTTTCGCATTTTATGTAAACTGTCGTAGGGAGAAGATGAATACACCATCACTTTTGTCGAAACACACTTCACAGGCTAGCATTTATATGTTCGTAGAAGTACTGTAAGCCTTAATATGCAATATTAAATTGCACACTGCTTCAAATCACAAAATAATATAGATTTTATTCTTTTTTGCTCGTTACATATCATTTCCAAAAATCATTATTCATGCATACATTAAATATCTTCCATGCAAAAAAGTAACAACATCATAAACATAAATCAAAACAAAACAAACTGTAAGCTATACGACCAAAAATACCTAAAAACACATTAAAATGGTATGAAAAAAATATTTAAGAATATCAAATAACTGTGATATCAAGTCATTCATGTAAAATAATGAACACAAAACAGAAGTATACAAACCCGTATAAGTTATTGTACAATCACTATACACAAAGCATTA